AAAATTATTAAAAGGGAATTAAGTTTTAAAGCACATGTGATGCATCAGCATGCATAGATAAAGGATAGAGTTACACCAGCTACCCTGAACCTTATGACCACCAGTCAGACATAAAGTCGGCTTTCTTTTAGCCCCAAGTACAAAAATTAAACCCAGAAGGCATTGAGCAGTAGATTGTTTGGTACCAATCAACGAGTGTTAATCTTGCAAATGAAGCATACTGGAATCTTAGTTGAGATTTGGAGAATTTGGAGACCAAATCAAAACTTCAACCTTGCTTTTTTACTGCTGAAATATTTGTTTTAACTATCTATGGTGTAGAAGGTCACATTATTCATGTTTCTTAAAGCTCAATTTTAGATCAGCAAAACTGTTCAGGGAAATCGTTTTAAATACCTAAAATCAACAGAAGTAACCAAGGTGTTCCAACAAAACATTAATCGGAGCATCTCACTGCCACTGCAGCCTGGTTCTCTGTACATAGTGCTTTCTGCAATTTTTAAAGCAGAGTTGACTTTACTTTACTTTTGATACACAAATAGGACTCTGGATTCCCGCTTCCACTGCTTTGTGAACCCATCTTAAGCTACTGTAATTACCGTATTCTGCTTGATTGTTCTGGTGGATTTAAGTTGGGAAGGACATCCCATATAGCCTTAGCAGGACAGTATTAATCAATAAATACATTAAATTCTTCAACAACTTCAAATGCAATAGGGCTGTCTTTGAGCCTTTGTTTATTTCATTAGTGGATCTTCAAGGAGTCATTACCTTAATTTCTACAGATCATTATAAATCAGTCATACTGCCTGTTTAGTGAGAAAGTGCTTAAATTGTAACATTTACCCTTTTTCCTTCATGAAATACAGCTCCAACTACCCAGTGTTGATGGAAAACCTTCTTTCAGTGGTCATAATGTTTGGGCTGATAAGTGTATGCTAAAGCTGTAGCTTGTGATTGCAAACTAATGAATCCCAACTCAAAGTAGCAAAAAGATTTTTTCTTTTGATCAGCAAAACATGTCAAGAGGAAACATCTGTTCAGTACTGTGGTGCATGTGCTGCTTTCCCAATAATTTTTTTATATTTTGCGTACTTGGTGGACTTATGAACGCTATGGAACATGCATGACACAACTTTGTATTAGTATAGGTCTTGGAGACGTTGGCTGTAATAAATATTATTGCAAATTTACTTAACGATATTACTTTTTAATAATAAACATAGTATATGACAGCAAAAATGCTATTATATACTATAACATCACAAATAGAGGAAATGATGAAGAGTGGAAACACCGAACCCAAACAGTGAAAGCCCCGCAGAAAGAAAGATAAAACCACAGATTTTCTCAAACCGTTTGAGCTGATAAAGCATGTCCATAACAGACAAACCAGCCTACTGCTGAGGTATAACCCATTTAAGGACGAAACAACTAAACGTATCAATAGAGATAAATCAATTTTTGAAACTTTAAATTTAAAACAAAAATCCAACTGCAGTATAATGACCACGTCATACTTTTTGCTCATCAAACAACCCATTCAGGTCATTTATTCATCTGAAACTGTGCTGAAAATATTTACATTTTGCATTTAGAATTAAAATCATTCTTTGGTTTAAATCCTGTATATTCTATCCAAAAGTTTTAAAGTGGCGACTGAGAATTTTGTTTTTTTTTATTACCAATTTTAACCTTGCAATGCATTTAAAATGTTCAATAAATGTTTTCCTTGTTAAAGTCAAACAATGATTTATTGAGGAATCTTAATTTACTAAGAGCATCGGTTTTTAGATCAAGAAAATCTCAAGAATAACTGATAATAAAAGAAGTAATAGCTGCTAGCCTAAATGCTATAATTCCTTTATTGAAGGGATACAGAGGAATAAAAGGGTCCTACAACCATAAAATACGCTATGGTTGGTATATTTGAGCTTTCAGAATGTTTTTCCAAACATTAATGAGGTTGTTGATGTAGTCATTTTGAAGGAAAGACATGATAGATAAAAAAAAGGCTTAAAATTAGATCAAATGTGTGTATTTGCTCACAGTTTATTGCAAGCTTAAAATTTTAACTTCAACTCTTTTGCATAAACACAAATAGCAATATCTTGGTGGCTACAGTATGTTACTATTGCAGTTAATTGTTACATTTGGTGCAGAAATTCTGCATATAAAAACCTTTGTTCCTCAAAACCATTAAATACTATCTAAACAATCAAATTGATATACCCAGCATTATGTGACATTAGTATGTCACACAGTGTTTGGGTCTACAGCTGTCCTGTATTGTAACTGCACATTTGCATGAGCAGCCATTTCAACCCTGGCAATGAGCCCCCCCCATCAGCCCTATTAAATGTGAGAGCAGGGTGCAGACAGACATCACATTTTGTCCTCTGTCCTTTCACTACACAGATTATGTTATTCATTTGAATAAAATATCTCTGCTCACAAAGCATAATGGGCCCTGTGAGGAATTCAATCATCTCGGATAATCATCATTATCAATAATGCCAGTTAATTACCATAACAATGAGCAAGGTAATAAATGATGATGTCAAGGCAGAGCTACCAGGTTCAGGAAACAATGAAGAAAGAAATGACTTCTTCTCTTTAGAAGTGCTATGAATATCACCTCGCTAAAGTTCTCCAAAATTTCTAAGAAAGATGTCATTTCATTATAGAGCAGCGGATTAAAGCCAAAATTTGAATTGTCTGCACTGATTTAATTTTGCCCCATCTCAAAAATTGATAAGATGCCAAATATAAAAGGTGAAAAAAATATGCTGCTACTTATATATAGTAATAAGGAACTGCTGGTAAACACCTATGCCACATGTTTAAAGTTTTCTAACGTCTTACTGCCACACCAACTTATACTAGCAATAATGTGTAAACTGTCAATGAGTAAACTGAGGACTCAGTTATTCCACTAAGAGTTTAACGGCACTGCTTTGATGTGGCTTTTAGTATCAACTTAAGTAAACTATCCTTTAGTTCAATTGCCTTACTAAGCTGCTTCTGAGATTAAACTTCTTTTCAATTTGGATTTCCTGATTTTTTAAAAAACAACAACAACAAAAAAAAACTTTTTTCTAGCCTTTACTTTGCACTAAAAAGCATCACTTTTGGTCAAAGTTGCAATGGATAGTAGCAGATAAAAGGTTAGGTTGAAAGCTAATTATCAAATAAAATGAGACAATTTTCTCTCTGGACATTTGTTCAATAATATATTTCAATAATTTTGTTTGCAGTAATGCATGCTTAAAGCATCTTCAAAATGGTCTGTGTAGGAACCAGGATCTGAACTTTTTTCAGCTTCTCATCCATCACTAAGCGTTTCAGAGAAGAATGACACCTACATGTCTATTCGCTGTCAAACTGCTGGAATGCAGTGTGCGCATCAAAGGGGTTTACGTTATCAGTTTGCTGCCAGCAGAAGGAGTTTCATCATCGACTTTTAGCGACATCATTTAGGGGTTTTAGGAAGCCAAAGGACAGTAGCGTCCATTTCTGTTCTTGTCAGATACAACCGAGTAGTGGTGGAGTAACAGGAATCCTACACACCCGACAAAGTCTGTCTTCTTGTCTTGTGGGGCTAAGAATGCACTAAATGTTTTTGTTGGCTAACAGGTTTCCCTTTTATGCAGAGACATATTATTCAACAGTTACCCTAAAGCTTCTAAAATAATACACCTTTTTCGTAATATCCCGTAAACTCTAACACAATTTCAAAAACAAAAGCTAATACGTATGTTATCTGTACTCTTTAGAGATCATTGCATAAAAAAATATCTCATTCTAGGCTTATTTCTTTTTTAAATGATAATTCAGCTGGTTAAAGGGTAGACACTTCCACTATTGGAAGTGTCTCACTAAAGGAGTCCGTCACCAGAGAAAACACAGACCCCCCACCAAGCCCCATGAGAATAAGTGGCTCCAAATTACAGGTGCATCTCAAATAACTAACATCATCAGAAATGGATAAAAAATATGCACTGGCTTCACACAAAGTAGTATATTAAAACTTTTTTTTTTAATTAAAAATTCAGATTTACAATACAATTGCATAGCTTCATACAGATATCAAGACTAGGCCTCCTTTTACATGAATTACTGCATGCAGATGAAGGCAGCCAGTTTGTGGCTTTGCTGTGTTTTTAAAGATGCCCAGGTTGCTTTACTGACAGCCTCCCACCTCTCTACATTATTGCAATATTTCATCATACTCTTTATAGCAGTTCCTTGATTCTCTGTGAAGTCGAGAGAGTTTTCATCCCAAACAAACATTAATACCAGGGTCGCTAAAACCTGGTGCTGGCACCTCTGCCAATGTTCGATTTCCTAGTCCTACTAAAAAAAAAAGCATTTTCTCAAAGCTTGTAAGTGTGTGACTGCGTTTTGTAAACTGAAGTTATCCCTGAGGATTCTGCAACTTTTTCCTTCCACACAGCTTTCCAGTGTTATACTTGGACAAACCACTGTTAGAACACAGCTTTTTGATAATTAACCTTTAATAAGCTAAACTAAATGTTAATTTGATTCTGTTGTCAGTAATTTAAAAGTCTTTGTTGGTCATAACATAAAACACATCAATTAATATTAGTAATTCTTTAGTTTTCTTATGAACTAGGTCAGGGGATTTCATTAGCTATAACACTTGTTCAACTGAAATAAACAATTTCAATATATCACACTGTGTGAAATGAAGCCAAAGGACTTTCACTCAACTGAGTGCTTAAGTTTCTAATAAAACTTTAATATTTTGAGAGGTTCCTGTAGATTGCAGTAGAAAACCAGGAAAATCAGAAGCAAGTAGATCAAAACTGCAAACCAAAGAAGTGGGGTGCAAGCATGAAGAGTGAGAGAAGGCGGTGGAGTGAGTGTGCTTTAAGGGATGACAAAGCAGGCAGGAAGCAGAGCATCAGATTATTTGAGCTACTATTTTCCAATCCATCTGTTATAAAGAAGGCATTTAGAATTACCAGTTCACTTACAGATTTTGAAGTGGCTGAGATGTACTGGACCACCATCTCACGCTTGGTGGCCAAGTCCTTTCCACGTAAAGGGGCTTTCCGTTCCTCATTGAGGTTCATGTCCTCCTAAAAACAGAACAGGAACAATGAAACTGACTGCCTGTTTCAAGGTAGCCTTTAATGAGCAAAATAACCAACAAAAATGCATCTCCACATTGTTGTGTTTGTTAAGACACATTTTTTTTTTTATTTCACATCATCCAATTGGCACAGCAAAGCAGAAAAGGCTTTTAAATGACGTGCAACTGAAGTTGATCCCCAATAAACAAACACAAAACCTCAAAATATATTCACATTTTTGCATTTCAAAACCTTCAACTTTAAACCAGATCATTTCAATACAACAGATTCTTCAAAAATACGCAGCATTTCGGGCCCAGAAACAATTATTTTTCAATTTCCACCATTACCCTTTTATATCAGATCCTGTCCTTTGCTTAAATTAATTCCCAACCACGTTTCTTTGTTAAAGTCACAGGCTGTAGCAGTGGAGTATAATGGCAGGAATAATTAGTCCTTGAAATAAAAGTAGCAAAGGCAGCAGCAATAGAAGAATATAAAGAAAAAAATGGCACACTGCACCGCAACTCTGAATCTGAACAGCAGAACAAAATCAAACAACACTGTTTCTATTGAGGCCATGCAATCACAGCTGATAGGCTGGATAGGCAGTATCTGCGTGTTATTGGGAGTATTATCTTCATGCTACTTTAATTCGGCATCACAAAGAGTTCTTTCATGTGAGAGACATCAGGGGATAGAGTGAAGGCCGGACAGAGCACTAAAAGCTAGGGAATGACATGATGATTAGAATGAAGGAGGATGTTTATCAGAAGCACTCTCTCACAAAGAGATGGCTCGAATGAACAGAGGAGAAAAACATCCTCCGTTGAGGTAACAAGGTGGAGGTCTGCTGCCCTCTAGTGGAAAGAAAGGAATACATTTAACTCTTGAAGTCTCGATGTCCTATCGTTTTCTCTTCACCTGATTTACTTTCTAATTTAACTTATAAATTCAGTGCATCACCATATTAGATCACTGGATTACTCCTAGGTTGAATTATCATACCAAAGGTAATCAGAATGAAGTTGTTCAGCCTTGTTTGTCCGTGAGGCATGGGCAGGAATCCCAACCAGGAGCACTGTGACCTAAATTCCTTTAACTACATTTCCTCCAGTAAATACCCTCTGAGCTAAAAAGAAAACCATTAACATCTCTTGTGGAAATGGAAGGGTGGTTTGGGGCTTGGATGCAGCCGAAACTTTTTCATCACCCAGGGAAAGCAGCAGGTTTTTTAATTAATCTTTGAACCCTGCTAATTTATCTGCTTAATTGGCATTCAATAAAGGAGGCAGAATGTGGTGGGGTGAGTACGTTGCAGGCGCGCAGGGGGGGGCGGGTTGCATGAGTAGTGAGCCTGCGGGACGTTTGTCAAGGGGCAAACTGGAGGAATGAGCCCTCCAATGTTCAGCCTGCAAAATGATTAATGCTCTTTTATTAATTATACCCTCACAGGCAACATAAAAAGAGCTTCGGTATATCATGACTATTCTGCTGGTGTAACAGAAATGCTGTGATTTGAGCTTCTAGCTATGCCAGTAGACCAGACATATGCTAGAGCCTGCCATCTTACACTAGTCTGACTAACTCTGGTAGGGATTTATTAATACTAATCAGGGTGCAATTGCTGCGTTCATACCAAAAATAATTATCCTGAAGTATTTGGGAAATCATCCTTTGATCAGTGCTATGAGAAAGTCTTTACCCCTTTTAAAGGGTTCTCTTGTTTTTACCTTTTTGTTATGACTAACTATGTTTCAGAGTCAAAAAATAAAAGGTACATTTTAGACAAAAACAAATTAAGGGGGGGAACTGGCAGTTTTTAATTTAAGGTTCTCAAATCATGGATTATTTTTTTATACCCACATTGTTTTGGTTACATCTCAGTAGGTAGGTCTGATCACCTCAAGAGGTAAAACTGACCTCTATGGAACCTAAGCGGACAACAATAGGTAAGAAGTGCACTAAATTTTGATGTTAAGAAATTAAAATGAAGGAAAGTCACAGACATCTGTCGTTCTTCATATTCCTTGTAGAGCCTTTGGATTTTTGTGAGCCACAATGAGAAACATTAACCGAAAAAGAAGAGAATATTGGACAGAGACGAGATGTCACAGAAGTGTAAAAAAGGCAGAGTTCATGATTCTAAGAGACGGAGCAAAATGACATTAATGGGAGAGTACCAGCAGGAAAACCACTACTGACCAAATATGGGAGAATGGCATGCTTTTCATTATATCTAATGCAAATCTGCCAGCATACCATACCTGTATAAAAACATGGTGGTGGTGCGATAGCCTGAGGTTGATTTGCTGGTTCTGGGGCTGCAATAACCGATGCAACATTATTTCTACTTTATACCATTCTACTCTGCCATCATTTTGTGACAGAGCTGCAGTCCAATGCAGCAGGGCAATGATCCACAGAAAAGCATCACTTCCACCTCTGAATGGAAAAAATAAAAACTGGCAGTCAGTTTCAAGTGGCCTACTCAAAGTGGCGGTTCATCCTCAAAAAGCCTCCAATTAGGATAAAATAGAGGACAAATCTTCAAAGAGTAAAGGGTCAATATTCCTCTACATGGAGGTAAATGAGTCTTGGTCAGTTATTAGCTTTAAGGGCCAGTTTGGAGGCTTTGATAGATTTTATCCTTTCGCAAAACAATAATTGGAAATTTCTTTAGCTTTTACTCACAATATTTTTGGTTTTAAAAAAGTCCACAAGTTGAAATGGTGTTGGTCTTTGACTGGGTTCAATGTCATAGTGTCAGGAGAGGCATGTGGCATAAAAACTTTGCCCAGTCTGTCAGAAAGTGGTGATGACCTCTGAATATGGGAGCAGCTAAAAAGACACATCTTTGATAACACAACAGGTTTGCGAAAATGAAGGGGAACTTTTAGACATCACCGCCTGAGGTAAGTTCTCAAAATAAGGTATTGGTGAGTAGCTAAAGAAATGTTTAATGCAACCCAAGTAGGCAGGTGTTTCCTCTCACTAAACCATTTTTCCCAACGAAGCAATAAGTTAAGACGGCTGCACTCTAGGCATGGCAGCTCCTCATTGGGGACGACGCCAAGCAGCTGTCTGATTATGTGGATCAGAGGTTTCAGGCAGTCAAGAACCATAGCAGAGTGAAAATACATTCCAACATATTTTTCATGTACGTGTACAATTTGTTCCATATTATGCATAATGCATTTAATATATTGCACATATGAAAATAAGCCCAATAGTTTTATTGAGAGTTTTATTCTGTTTTATTCATCTCTGACTACCCTACATCAAATCAGGGATCATGACTCTCGACTGCATCTTTAGTTACAAATATAAGACTTTTGATTTGGCTTGTATTCATGCACTGTTTACTTGATGTCTGGGCTTTGTGTGTCATGTACAATCTATTTTATGTAAACTGAAAGTGGATATAAGTGTAGATCAGTTAGATTATCTTGTTTTATCAATATCTGGTTGTTATGGAAAGATTACATAGTAGATCTGCCAGTAAAGGGAGAAAATGGCAGAAACTGGTCAAATGTGGGTTTTTATTTCCATTTAAAGCACTTACAGAAACAAAGACAAAGCCTGCAGTTCTTACAGATGTGGTTTTAGTTGCACTTTAACAAGAGATGTGGGTGGACAAAAGGAGATACAATTTCAGTCATGTTTATACAGTGATGAATGCCTTTACTGTAATAAAAAAAAATCTAATTTCTATATATAAAGTGAACTAATCAGAAGTAAAAACTTTATTATGCTTTTGCAATATCAAATTACAAATTAAGTCTATCAATGACGTTTGATTGTTCAGGACAAGAAGCAAACAAAGAAAAAAAGCGTATTCTACATCTCATTCTAATCTTTTATCTTCAAAGTGAAATCAAAGATTTAACATTAAAAGGTGTTAACCATATTTTTGGATATAAATGTATACCAAAGTTTTTGTATTTGATAGATATTATGCATTTAATTTGTGATCATTTTACATTTTAGGTCTTAGTCTGAAATGAATATCTCTGCATAAGGTTTGTAAATAAAATCAAATAGGTTTGGCAAAATGCTTTGGCTCGATATTGGTTAGGGTTTTAAACTAGTGTGAAGAAAAATAAACAGACACTGTCAAATCATCCAAGGCTTTAAAACTATACGAAGAGTCTCCCCTGAAGAAATATGAGGTTCTTAAAAAAGTAAGTAGTAAAAAAAATAAAATAAAATTCCTTTGCCTCCACTGTGACAAATCAATTATTTTTTTCCACTACCCCCAAGTTTGATCCATGAGAGCATGAGGGCACATGCCGTAATTCTCCTGTGGGCTGGTTTTAATGTCCTGGTGCAGAGTGGAAGAGCTGAGGGATCACAGAAGAGCTTATTACCCAGAGTATTCATTCTAACAACGGCAAACATAAAACCTGAAACAAGGCACTGTAGCAATGCACCCTTACACTGTTAATTCAGTGGCTCTGTGTTGCTGTGTGCACCCCAAAAGGTTCTTAAAATCTTTGGAAAAGGCTTAACAGGAAATTAACTTTATTAGAAAATACTTTGTTTTCTCACACATAATAAAAATGTTGTTTTGCCTCATCATTAATAAACAGAATAAGAGAGGAGAGTTTGTTGAAGCCCATGTGAAGGTGGATAATTGACCCTTAACATAGAGCTGGGGCTTTTACTTATTATTTATATCATCAACAATCCAGTTAAATCTGAGATCTGAATCCATCTGAAATGGGTGGTAAGGCTTTAACTCCGATTAAAATAAGTCCTCTATCAAATCTGACTAAGCTTCAGTAAAGCTGCACAGGGACAAAGGCCCAAATGTCAGTGCATAGATGTACACTGATTAAAACCTTCTACAAAAGATCTGTACTTGGAATTGAGGTAAAAGTTGCTGAAAACTGATGACTTATCAGATATGAATGCAAAGGAAAAACACACCTTTCAGAGGTTTTTATTGATTAAACTTTTTGAAAGCCATATTCTTTTTTTTTCTTCCTTTCAGTTACACAATG